AAAAAAAGAAATACTGAATTACTTGAGCTATTTATTCCCCTTAGGTATGTTAGGGGCCCTCTCCAGAAGCCAGAAGAAATGCAAATGAAGGGATAATTCCTGTCAAGCCTTCTGTTTATTGCACCAGGAAAGAAGGGCAAATTCCTTTTGCTGTGCTACCTTCTAAAAGTGTCATCTCTTACTGACACATACTGGGAGCACAGTAACTACTTGACTATGCCTCAGTCTACAGCTCCCACTACTGCAGGCTACAATGAACTAGTAACCATGTTTTGAGACACACAACCAATGGAAGCTGAAAAACTTTGAGGGGCTGCATTACACAACCTTTGCACTCTAAAGAGACATTTGCATAGACAGACAATCTGCATCAATTTCTCAACCATTACAAAAGAAATAGTATCTAATACCCTTACAATAAAACACTCTCTCAAAAAAATCTTGAAAAAACCCAGGACTTTATCTGTGCTATTTACGAAGTAATTCAAAGTGGAAGATGCAACGTGTGTTCAAAATTTCCTTCTCTTCATTATGCAGAACAATTCAAGGACTGAATCTTCTGTGTTAATAAAATCCAGAATACATATATCGACCTATTTTTCTCAAGATTCACTTACTTTGACTGCAGAGAACACAACAGGGAGTCAGTACTCTCTGGAATCACTTTGTGATTATTTGGTCATTTCTGGTTTATCAGCATTAGAATCACTGGTTTGACCCAAAACAGGTGCAGAAATTCTTAAGTCTATATCTAAATTCCATTTATTATTTCCTGAACATAAAAAGGCAAGAAACAATTAAAAGGAAGTAATAGAAAATAAGCTCTGAATGTTAAAAACAAAAAAAAAAAACAGAATTTCAGGCAAAGAAGTTCTCATTCAGGCACACAAGTTCAAGGTGGTGGAAGGAATTAATTAGAGGAACACTGAAACATAAAAATTAATCACAGTGAGCAGAAAAACACGCTTAATTTAACTTAATTCCTTCCATCCTATACAGTCTTTTACACATTATATGTGTAAAAGACTCAAAAATCAACAGCTACTTTACATAAATACTACTTCTCCCAGCTTTTGTTTTACAAGTGCTGGCTTGTTCCTTTTTTTCCCCCATTCTTCAAAGATCAGGATTATGCCGAAACCATAGAAATTGTGATTACAAAAAACTGGTAAGCTGAAAATCTCAGAACAAATTATGTGCATGTCTGAAGAACAAACGCACCCAAATATTCTCAGTGCTATCATAATTGTGGCAAGTGCAATACATGGACATTTCTCTGCCTGCGTGCAGAATATGCACTGGCCTGGAGGTTCATTAAAAAAAAAGCAGCAAACTCTGTAAAGAGTCTCCAAGAACTGCAGAGGGCAGTGGTATGGAATGGGTTACACCAGAGCTGCTCTCATTCAGCAGCTTTGCTTGTTTTACCAATATCTGGCGGATAGAGGAATAGAAAGAAATGATCTTGATATCATTATTAGTGGAAATGTTACTTTCAGATCTGTAGTTTTCCTACAGAAAAACAAGATGCAACAAATAGGCATGATCAAAACATCATTCTTTCAAAACGCAAAACAATAGCAGCAGTTTGCAGGGCATCCTTTTTCCTATGATGAGAGCTGGAAAATCCAAACCAGTTAAGACAGTTTCTCTCTGTAATATTAACCATCCTCCAGAAAACAAATCACTGTTAAACAGCTTAAAATCCAAATGCACCTTACAGAATGTGCTAATCACTGGCCACTCTGCTATAATTAAGTGAAGCAAGAGCTTCCCCTGAGTTTTGGAATCAGTTCCCTGCTCAGCTGCTACGTTGTCAACAGCTGGCATGAATTACAGGGAACATTTGGCTAACTGGATAATAAGGAGAACAGCCTGTGGTTGGTCCAAATTCTACTTCACCGATCTGCTGCAATCAAAAAATTCTCATTAGATCCTCCTGGTTTTGTTTTTTGTTGTTGTTGTTTTTCTTGTTTTTCTTTTTTCTTTTTTCTTTTTTTTTTTTGAAGTAATACCAATGCTACAAAAATTGGGTTTTCTATTTTATTCCCTCATTATGTGCAAACAATGTAAGTGTACAACTCAGATGTTGCATGACCCAGTGTAACTGAAGCCACAATTCTCTATAATTTAATAACACTGTCTGCAACACTCACTCATTCGCACACATATCACATCTTTCTTTGCTGGTATGGTAAAGGTTTGTTACTCTGCTTTTCTGTTTGCTGGCAATTCATCAGCACAGACGACCAGAACAAAGCCCCAACCTCTGCTCCCACATAGCTTATGGCAGAGCAAGTATTTGCGAAACTATGCTTTCTCCAAACAATAGATTTGTTATGAGGTAAAGACAAATTATATTACTATAGATCAACACAACCAAATGCCACCCTTCATTACTCTGTTACATTATTTGATTTGTGCCCATGCTGCCATCAAATTCTTTCCAGAAAACAATGTAGGAGCCAAGTTCAAGTGCAGCAACATGCTTGAAAGCAGTTCTGTGCATGGGTTCTAATGGGTCCAAGCTCCAGAGGTATCCTTGCTGTGGAGAGTGAGCAGATTTACTAGGTGTCTTCTCCTGTTCCTTAAAATCAGTGACAGGGAATCTAAAGAAAATATTTCTCCAGATTACATTCAAGTCCCTAGAGAACTGCTCAAATGAAGAACAAGTCTGATATAAAGCAATTACCCGACTATTGTCGAGTGTTAACAAAATTCTCATGTTTTTAGGTAAACTCTGCAAGCATGTTACATAGTCTGAGCATGCTGTTATAAATGTTCTTGAAAAATATTGGATTATCCACTGCCTCTCCTTCCAAAAACAAACATTTGAAGTGCTGGGCTTTTTGTCCTCTTTGATCAAAACAGCACTGTAACTTTCAAGTTAGGAGAGGATTAGTCTAATGAAATATCACAGCTCAAGTTGGAAACAAAGAAGCTGATTTTTATTTCAAAATTTTCACTAAGACCATTCTCAGATGTCTCACGAACCATAGTAAGAATCATGTTAGTAACAACATCCAGTAGTTCAGTGCTATGTTAACGAACACTTCTGTCATAAGCTACCTAACAGATGTTGCTGAAAGGCTTTTTAATTCAGCAGGGCTTGTTCCATAAAATTATCTAATGTGTTTCAGTATCTCACATTTGTATTATGTTGTATTTGGTTGGGATGATAAGAAACACAGAACAGTATTAGAACTCACATATCATCACTATTACTGTGAGGGCCATCACTTGTGCATCAGTCTTTGCAGAGAAAGCAATCTAAGCAAAGGTCAAGCCAGCAGGATAAATGTGGCTACTTTCTACATTTCAATCATGCCACTCAAAAGTAAGTCACCTTTTGAAAGGCAGTTAATCCTTGCTGTAGGGGCTAGAATTTAATAGAAGGCAATTGGGGAAGGTAAAAATTATAAACAGCTTTTAGATTTTTCCAGGCTACTATACCCACATGTTGCTACAGTGATTTCCGAGATAATTTGGACTACGACACTATAGAAGAATAACGTGTAATGCTGAAAGAAGAGGAGAAAAAAGAATACATACTTTAGAAAAAGTGCATTTTCCAAGTGATGAGCTTTGTAACTTAAAACCACATTAAAAAAAAAAAAAAAAAAAAAACTTGATGAGTCACCTTTTCAAAAAACAATCTCAAATTTAGAAGAGATGGTAAAGAAATCTTAAATGTAACAGCTAATTTAGTACTCGAGTCTCAGAAATGTCCCTATGGTTTACAAAGACACTGACACCACAGCACAGGGCTTCCTAAACAGAACTTCATAGTGACCAACTAATCTCTTTTAGGAACCACTGACAAGGAGTGTCTGACTAACCTGAGATAGGGCTCAATACACTGTGCCATTATTCTCTTCAAAAATTACTCAGTTGGAACAAAAAAGGAAGCCAAAAACAGTTTTGTTAAGACACTTCACAGTTGTCCTATTACAGGAGAACGTAGGCACCAGGAACACAAGAGAAAAGGCTCACATGACAGAATCTGAACTCCTCTACAGCTTCTCCTCCTACCAGAGGCAGCAGACACCTTTACCTCAACAAGGCCCATCCCATAACAAGGAAACAAAACGAAAACTATCAGCAATGGTTTGTGAGAAAGCATACTGGATAATTTCTGTAGAAGGTTCTGCTAACAGCGTAAAGGAAGATGCCTCCTTCTCCCTTTTTGCTTTTCACTTAAGAAAAGAATCAAGGCAGGTTTGTGTTCTTTTGAGATAAAACGAGACAAAAGCAGGAAATGCTCTCCTTCTTCCTTTACCCCAACAACTTCTTAATGAAAGGTCAAGCATAGCCATCAATCATGATAAGGAAGAGGGACCAAAGAGATGACCTTCTTTGAGGGGAAACAAGTACATATCAGATAGCACTTATACACTGATATAGTTCTCATATGACACGCGAGACAAAAGAGACAAAAGAGTTTCATGCCCACATGGAAAAGTGAAAATTAAGCACTAGAGATAAGCTCTGGGATGTCTGATTTTCTTCCATTATGTCAGACAAACGCAAGTCAAGCAAAAGCTCACTTCCAAAATTTGTCAGCAACACAATCGAATGCTACCCCTCACTGCTTCTGCAGTTTGGCAGCCCAGATTAGAAGATTCATCACCTGGGGTCAGCCACCATCACTAGCTTGTTACTGATAAATTGCAGGACTCATCATGTGCACTTCAAACAGCTTTAAAGTTTGTTGCTTTTCTGAAAGAGAACAATCTGCTTTCAGTCATGCTTGACCTCACTGTTACAAAATTCATTTAACATATTCCACTGTAAATGATGCTTATGAGGTAATTTCTGGGAAGAAAGTAAAACTTCTATCTGAAGTAGATAAAATCAAATATAAGTAGTTCTCCAAAGCAAGACTTGCTGACTTATCCTTTGCTAGCTTTCTCAGCCAACATCAGTTAACTTCTATTTCCTGGGCTAGTTTTAAAACACAGGGCTTCCTTTCAATACCACTCTTGAAGGAAAAAAAAGTTTACCAGCTCTCGAGGTAGAAAGGCCTCCTCCTGACGAGCCACGATCAGACAGACAGTTTCCCCTTGCTTTGTGCTCCTCAGCATAGCTACAAGCTCCTCCTGGGTCCTGCCAGTGATGTCCCATCCATTCACCTGCCAGACACAAAAGATGCCACAAAACTGTATGTTTTTGTTGTTTGTTTTTTTTTTTTAATCATTTTCCCCTCATCTAATGCAGGTGCCATTTGTTGACTGAGAGCAAATAATTAGCAATAGCTCTACCACTGCAGAACCTGAGGAGGTTACTTAACCTTTTTCTCCTCCTTTTTACCATCTGTTAAAGCAAGTCTGTGGTACTTACCCACCTTGCAGGGGGTTTGTGAGGCTTAATTAGTTTCTAAAGCACTTTGAAGATGAAAAGTACAAAAACAAAACCTAAGTATTATTAAAACTGTTTACCTTAAGAGCTTTTTGAGGTTACTAAGTAGAAATAACCCATTAGATAATGAAATTGTAAGCCACAATCTATCTGAAAATTTTACAAAGTCCAATTTGAGCAAAACTGCTTTACAATGAGCACTTAACCACCTCAATATTAATCAGATTTTGGACATGTCCGAGGAGGCAATACATGTTTTTTTTCCTGAACTGATGTATTTACCTGCTTGAAGAACCTGTGAGTTAGATTTCCCTCGTTCTACTGTCCCATGGACCCCTGTACACTTCAACTTTTTCTGAACTGTAGGTAAAAAACTTCTTGACAAACAGGAGAAAAGCCTTGGTATATTTTTATCAAGGTCAAGAATTTCAATTCTGTACATCAGTAAAATGTACAGGAAATACAGCATGTCTGTTAAAACCAGAGAATCATAGAATTCATAGAATCACAGAACCATAGAAAACCAGAGATCAAGATTCATCAACGCAAGTAAAATGAGCATTTATCCTAACCTCCAGGATCCTGTCACCTGACTGCAAACGGCCATCTTTTACTGCTGCACCTTTTGGTAAAATATTCTTCACAAAAATAGGACCAGGACCGTGTACTGAAGAATCCCTGGTAACCACAGTGAAACCAAGTCCTTCAGGACCTAGGAGGTCAGACAAAGAATTCCCAGCAAAAGTTATAACAACCAAATGATAATCATGAAAATAAGTAATCAATGTCAGTATAACGTATCACAGGTGCTTGTTTGAATTAGCTCTTAGAAAAGCAAAAGTAAACAAAAAGCTGTAAACATGAACCTATTTTCTACAGAGTCTAGAAAGGAATTGTACTCATGTCAGAACATACATGCTTAAATCCTCTGGCAACAACTGCAGATGGCAACGCTTTTGGATAACCCACAATAATACAAGACAAACCAGAACTCTCATTTTAAAGAGCATACCTTTTCTGTAAGTGGTTTTATCATCACCTTGCACATTATTGTCAATAGCCATTCCAATAATTCAGAGCAATCAAAATTTCTTACTTATAAGCATAAATATAATTTAGCAGGGCTTTACTGAAAGTTAGTGAAAAAAAGAAAATGCCACATGATTTGCATGTGAAAACTGCTGACTGCTGTTAAGAAAGCTTTCTAGTGAAGGCATTTTGTACTTGGAAATAAACAAGCTGAAGTGTTAATAGATAACTGTTTAATAAATAATTATGTTGTAAAATCAATATTAAGAATTATTAATCAAAGGTCACTGAAATCATGCAAGAATAGCGAGGTCCATAAAGATCTATCTTTCAGTGAGCGTATTTGCTACCTATGTAGACTAGTTTTCATATATGTCAGTATCACATTCCTATCATTTCTAAAAATATAAATTATAATTTCAAAATCAAAAACGCTGCATCTAAAATGGTAAAAATTCTGAAGTAGGTTTCATAAACACAAAACTAAAAAGTTCAGAAGGAAACATGAGTTAAGTTAAAAAAATAGTAAAAATTAAGAAATGACAGCTTGATTACATTCATTATGCATTAAAAGAATAAAGTTACAATTTTTAAAAAGGTCACTTCTAGCATCAAATTTAACTCCCAGACAAATCAGAGACAGAAATTAAACAGAAAATGTAAATGCTAATTGGGATTCGCTTAAGCACACTTTACTGGATTGCATAAACCTGCTGTTCCATGCAAAGACAGACATCTGCATGGAGTAGCAATTAAGAACATGTACAGAAAAGCCAGGATACTAACAGCAAGAAAACAGATAAAAAGACACAGTTTGCAGAAAATAAAAAGGAGAAAGACAAAATTTATGGTCAACATGAAACAGAGTATTTCGTAAATGTATTTTACAAATATCCTAACTACTGGTCTATTAGCAGATACGAATAGAAAGTAATGAAAAACAGTTGCAGAACATTCAAACGCCTGTATTGGGAAAAGGCTGAACTAATTCTTCATTTCATATGATGTTAATCAAACACCTTCCACATAACCTGAGATGTTGTAAGATCAGTGAATTGAGATAATGCTTCTAAAATGTATAGGAAAGCTGACCATTGAGAACATTACTGTTAACGTTCTTCTACCTTTTGGAAGTTTTGGAACTTTTAAACCCAAAATAACTTGCTTGTACATTCAACATCACTAGTTCAGTTAAAAGGTGAAGTATCAACGCTACAGAAAAAAAAATTTCTAAAGATTTACCTTTTTTCAGGTCTATCTTTATTTTCTTTGCATTTTTTTTATTGCCAAAGCCCATAAGGGGAGACAATGAGGGTGAAGATGGTTTTCTACCCAGACGTGGGAGGTTGGGGCTCTTAGCTTGTAGTGTTGCCTGTACACCAGCATCCAAGCTGCCTGCTCCAGGAAGATGAATTGTTTTCAGAGTAGGCTTCGGATGAACAGGAGGCGGAATCTTTGTTTTCGGAACTTCTTCATCATTGTGCAGAAAACAAAGGGGAGCAATAGCAGACTTCTCGTATTGTTCTCGATTATAAGGAGGAAGGACTTCCAAAATGACACTCTGAAATTTCATCGCCTGGCGGAAGATGTCCTGAGCCCTTTAAAAGACAGACACAAAAATCCACATAGCAAACCAGAAAATATGGGCAATGTTTGAAGTTGTTTACAGAGAAAAAAGACAAAAATGTATTTTAAATGTGGGCAAATAACATTACCTTCACATCTGCACGATCTCTTTTCTAAAAAGTAACCATGAAATAAGACTTCTATACCATAACATTTCCTTAAATTTCAAGTAGGCATATCACATCGCATAGGATTCCTATGGTGCTAAAAACACATCAGAGTATAAAGTAATACAATTCTCCACACAGAACATCAGGTAGTGAAGTTCTGATGGCAGAAACTCATCAAAAGTTTGCTGTATGCTTGATGGCCCACAGCCACAAAGGTCACTTTGCTCTGGTGAATACATCTATCCTAATGAAGCTCAAGACTCCAGTTATTCTACTGCAGCATAACTGCCCCTCAAATTCCTCCATCATCTGCTGTCTGACTCAACAGCAATTAAAATAAAAAAAGGGAGTACAGAAAGCATGAACGTGTTCAGAAGAAACATGGCGACTATAAATGGTGCAATTAAAAAAATGGTGGCATGTGATACACAAATATCTGAAGAAACACGATGACTGCTAAAGGGGAAATCATTTAAGCATTTCTACATAAATGAGTAAGCAGATGCCACTCACACTTTTGAAGCAGTAACTTCTTGTAAATGTGAATACTTGGACTTAATCAATGTCTTTATCGGTGTGCATAGGTATAGGACCAGAAATTGTGTTAGAGTATTTCATGAAACTGCTCCTCGTGACCTGATGTATGGTAACAATACAATGTTTGGACTACTCATTCATTGCAAGGCAATTAAGACACAGCTTGGCCAAAACAAATGCTAATATACAGTCTTCCCTGGTTTTTGAACAACCCATAGACTCCATCAACCAAGACATTCTATGAACCTCGGATTCTGAAGGAACAAAGGAGACTTCTTTCTATGCTTTCCTTTCCCATTTTCTAAGGGTTTAACTTAAGTGAACTGAAAGTCTTTCCACACTGCAGAAGACAACTCAAACCCAAATATAAATAATAGCTAAAGGATGTTCTGGGAAAGAAAAAACCTGTTTTGAGGGGATTTTGTTTTTAGCAACATGAAGACACAGAAGTCATAGTGAAATCTCCAAGAAAACAATCAATAGATAGAAAATAGATAAAATACAGAAAATGGATAGAAAAGCCTTGCGTATACATTCAGCGTAGTCAAAAGTTGTCAGAATAACTGTATTCACTGACAGGAGACAATACCAGAAGAGAAACGTTAAGCACAGAGAAGAAAGGTAGCAGGAAGAGTGCTGTGGGAAGGTATTCTATCGGATTCAGTCTTGAGGGTTAGATCTCAACAAAACTGTAACTGCACTACCCCAGTGTGTCTGCAGGGATTACAGGTTTCCAAGGACAGACCTTATCCTGATCTTAAAAATCACTGCATGCTCACACCACAAGGATGTGAAGTCTTTAACTGGGTTTCTCTTGGTCCTCATCTTCATCCTTGCAAGTATCTGCTTGGCCACATTGTTGGAAAGTAATTTAATAATTCAGTTTCAGTGGATGAATATTTTAAATATATGAAAGAGAAAATGTAACATGTCCTACAAGCAAAAAATAGTGGAAATAACACAAGCCATCCTTTGGGAAAGCCTAGATGCAGTCCTCAGGGGCAAAATAACTAGCTGCACTTCAAAGTGAAAGAATAATGGATGGATAAATTTACATTTCTGGAGACCCCAAACATACACTTTAAAGAAATAAGGGAGTCAATTAGAAGAGGTGCTAGAAGCTCTGCAACACAACATAACGCAATTGAATAGATTAACAGCAAATGAAAAAGCAGACCAGTAGTTCTAATACACAAAAATATTATAAACATGGGAATATAGAAAGTAGGTTGTTGCTATTATGGCTGTAGAAGAAGCAAGCATCAGGAGCAATCCTATAAAGCCACTGCTGAAAATGGAAGGAGACGTACGTAACAAACTCTATCGAAGGTTAAAAGAGCTTTCACAAAGATTATGAAGAACTGACAGATTAAAAGTAGCAAACAGATTTTCGTCTCAAAGAATCTGATGAGCCTTTCTAGGTCAGTAGTCATCAGGACAATACTACTTCATACTCACTGGAATGGCTGCAACTTGGATTTCTGTCAGGTTAGTAGAATTATGTCATGCCATATAAAAATCAAAAGGCATATTCACAGGATTAATTTCAGCCTAGAAAGGTTCTTTTTCTCTAGTCATTCTCAGCAGTCAAAGAACAGAAAGGATGTAGAAGGCCATTCTGGAAGAAGTACAATAGGCCATGCGACCTAGAAGTTAGAGCTTGTCCAAAGTCTTCTCCCCAGCCCTCAAATGAACATAGTACAGATGCAGTCCTCAACACCCACGTTTTTTTTCTCTGATCCAAGACCACTGCTGACCACACTACTTTTCATTATAATATATGGCTCCTCAGGTGACTGATTGGACTTTTAGTCACTTTGCTCTCCTGATGACAAAGATTGTCTAAGACAACTGGTTTCTCTGCTCACGCAAATAACCTCACAACTCCCACAGTCTTGCAAACTTAGAGAGTGTCCTGCATTTCCCACTTTGAAGGGAAACCTGACAGAGAATTGGAAATTTTGCTGCAGCATTTCCAAGTGTTCCAAATAGAGTAACCTTACGGAAAAACACAGAGTCCTCAGACCTACATACATCTTTTATGGCTTTGAAAGTCTTTGGAAAACTAGTTAAATTCTGAAGAGAATACAAAGGAGACAAGTATGTAAACAAATATGCAATTTTGAAAAAGGGAGATTTTTTTCAGGCAGCCTCATTTCAGAAGTATACATCTTCATTACAAAACTGCACAGATGAAGCAATCATATTTTCTGGAAAACCTGTTAGGAGGAAGAAAGAAAAAAAAAAAAAAAAAAAAAAAAAAAAAAAAAAAAAAAAAAAAAAGTAGTTGCCCTACTACCAACTATGCTAGTTTTATCAAAAAGCCTATTTTGCAAATACTTATCCTTAAAAACAAAATTACGTGTTTGATTTTAGTCTAGCTACCTTGAATGTTCAGCTTACTGTTCAGAAAGTTAAGCCTCAATTCCTTTGAGATCTCCATAGGTTTTTGTTATATCATAAACAAACACACACTCAGCTGTCTAAACATATGGATTAGAAGATAAAAACAAATTACTATTTAATTACTACAGCAAATATCTGAAATTTGAGAGGCTAGCCTTTCTTGCAACAATGCCACTAATTCATAGCCAATCAAAGCAACTTGTTATGTAAAGTAATTTGAGATGAATAGTAAATGTCAACAGATTTCCAAAAATAGTCATAAAAGGTGAGACTTTACCTCATAACCTCAACCCATCAGTTTAGTAGTCAACATAACCCATAAATCTCAACTAATCAGTTTGACAGCACTAGTATTTCTAAAAACCTAAATGCTGAAAAAGAAACAGCGTCAAAAAAAAGTCTCATCACCTTTGCAAAAGAACATTGAAAAATATTCTGCAAAGTTGATTCCTTCTGAAGTTCTTTGAGGAACAAAGAAAATACACAACAATGAAAGAAGAATTAGAAAGTGAAGATAACTATAAAGAAAAACAACAACCCTTAAAGTCATTTAAATTAAATAAGCAGAAAAGGTTCACTAAGGCTACAAGAAAATTCTTGTCCTCAATTTCTACCTTTTTTGAGGTTTCAGAAAGAAAATCACAAAGTTTTTGCCAAACCACAATTTTATAGTCATTAAATCCAAAATAAATATCAATTTGCACAAACCATTTCAATAAACTCAGCATAGTATAAAATCCCCATCAGCTAAAAATATCAGTAAAACAGCACTCACTGTGCAAACGTTTTATCTGTGAGGTCCACATCGTTGATCTTCACAATGCATTCATTTTCATGGAAAAGCCCATCACGCCTAGATCTACTATTTTCTTCAATACCACGGATAAAAAGTCCCAGCATCCTAAATGGAGGGGAAAAAAAACCTATCCTTATACTGCTGATACTATTTTACAGCAATCAAATACACATATTAATCTTCACTTGAGACATGACTTGAGATAGAGAAGACCATAATTAACTGCTTAACCTAAAAGAAGGATTTTCCATTCTTGCTTCAATTCACAGGGGACTGTAAGATGCACCAATAAAAATTGTTGGACATTAATGTTATCCTACATGCTAGAACTTCAAAAAGCATTAAATCCCATAAGTCATACTTGGATATATGGAAGAAAACCCTGCGATCTCTGCATCTAGATAAAAAGTTATTTGTACTTTATGCAACACAGGTCTGTCACCAAGATTAACTTGCTCCAAAGAAAAGCACAAGCAGTTTAAAATGTATTGTTCTAACTAGACTTTAGCAAAATAAACTGGCAGTAGGATAAAACAAAAAAAAAGCTTCTATGTTTGGAAGGTCTCCAAACATTTTCAGTTCCCAAAGTCTGCTATTTTGATACATGACAGCAAAACCATTTATGTACCTCGCAGATCAAAACCTAAGTTTGTTTGTTTGCCTGTTTTTTTGTTTACCATGTTCCTCACAAATTGAAAACTGAAGAATACCACAGATGTGTTAAGTGAAGAAGCATAGCTGGAGTGAGACTGTGGTGGGGCTAACTTCTGGCAGGGCTGAACTATTCTCCATCTACTTGGAGCACCTCTGCATTGCAAACATAACTCAAGGTAGATATATCAAATGATACCAGAATGATGTCCCAATAACGCAACAGCTGCATGTTCACCAAGATCTTTTAACATCCAGTTTTATCCACTAAATTGCCATACCATATCAGCACAGACAGATGGTCTGTAGAGGCCATTTTCTACTGGTTATACTCCATAAAATATCAATGTGCAATTTCCAACTTTGCTAGCACCCACATCACCAAAACAGAAGTCTTGTATTTTTCCTCAGATTCATAACTGTCTCATATTCAATTTCATTCAAAAGATTCACAGCAAGCTATTTTAAGTGATATAATATTCATTGTGCATCTGATGTTAGATCTAGAAAGATTTTTAAATTGATATTTATGTCTAAGGAAACATACTCTAAATGTAAACTTGGTTCCAACTGAACAGAATGTTTTGAAACATCTCACAGAAAAGAAAGACCCAACATATCACGGTTATCTTGTAGCCTGTGTTACATTCTTCAACAAAGGATTCAAAGGGCAAATGGGGGGGCAGGGCCATAGCCCTACCGATGATGAACATCCAACCAGCTGCAATCAAAAAACTAAATGCCAACAAATAATTCAATGCAAATGTGTCAAGATAGAAACCAAAAGAAGCAAGGAAATTAAAGACATTACGCTCTTCACTAATCCTATCATGCCTAGATGCTGCATCCATGTAACACTATAGGTTTTCCCACTTGTCTGAAACCTATTGTATGCACTATGGAATCTGAATGAGTGGATTGAGTTATGTATGGTAAGGCAGCTTAAATTCATTACTCCATTACCTATTTCATACAGTCTCAATTTTAGCATTGTTTCAATGCACTATTAAATTTTAATTTTCTTTTTTAACGATATCTAAGTGCAGAATAAAGGAGAAAAATAATTCCAGTGTTTTTCTAATTCCTATAACATTCATCATAAATTAATAAGATGTTTTAACTACACATAGAAAAATTCTGCTCTGCAGCATACTAGGTCTGAAGTCAGCATTACCTTATTAGTAGTTAACTGTTTACAACTGAAATACCAGACCAAGTTAGTCATGGTTGACATGCCCCCGTAAATTGCACCTCATCCTTAACAGAAATAAAAGATGCTTCTCTGTACTTTCTCATCTTTCATGAGTTAAAATTTATACACTAGTCTCGTGCCTGATTAAATAAAAGGGGTAAACCCAGCACTCTTACAAAGTTATCAGTATGGTTCTGCCAAGGGTCATTACAATTTCAAGACAACTGTCTAAACAAGTAGGTCATCTGTCTAAAGAAAAGAACAAAAACCCTTGTTCTCAGAGATCCTCAAAAATGCCTGTAAATAAAGACAAAATAACATGCACAAAATGTAGACAAAACAACTCCACTTTTTCATCATGGAGGTCTTTAAAAGATGCACTCAAAGCACCAAGACTTCAGTATAGTTCACTGTAGTACACTTGCAATAATTACTGATTTTAACAGCATGTAATTTTATCACATTTTCTATCTAACAATCTTGCATACAATGTTTATAATACAATATTCAAGGTATGTCTAACCCAAAGAACTACTGTCTGCATTTCACGATGGGTTACGAATACTAACGCCTTGCTCAAGACAAGCAGGCAGCCTCAAAGCCAGGCATGCAGCTCAGACCTCCTTCAGTCCCCATGGCACAGCAACTTTGTTCTTGCAACAGTGACAACATTTTTCCAGCAGCAGGTGGTCATCTACTTTCCCCTTTGGAAAATAAATATTTTGAACGAATTTGATCTCGCTAACAACTTGGGATGCTGCTGAGAAAGTATTTACAGGCACAAACTTTTACAAGGCAATTTAATCCTTCACATTCTCTGTCCTACATGAAAGTTGACAAATAAAGAAACATTTAAGGATTAGAAAATTTTTACTTTAGTAGTAATTGGCTTTGTGTTGCAGGCAGTCACATTACTATAAAATGGTATCATTTACGGCCCTGGCAATTTCCCATCTCTTGTTCAAGACTGCCAGTGTCAAATTAACTCCTTGGCTAAGCCTCTCATCCCAGAATTAGTTAGGTTTATTTATTTATTTATGACATTCCAGTTACATAGCTTGGAAAACAGTTATAATAAAAATGCTGACGCAGTCTTAACTACGGCACATCAATATGAGCATGCTGCTATAATAGGCTTTTGTGATCTCAAGAGAGTATGTTAAATCATTTATAATTACAGGAATTGTATTGTGACAAAGAAAAGTTCACAGTTACAGTACACATTCTATAAATGCTATACAATCAAATCTGAAAGGTGGCTTAGGAAAAAAAAAACAGGTTATTTTATTTACTTCTTGATTTTCTTGTCCGATAAGTCATTAAGGAAGGGCCTATGCAGAGAACTCCAGTTGAATCAAAAAACTTAAAATAAAAATAAATAAACAGAAAATAAAGCCAACTCTGACATCTTAGAATTTCTTTTTCCTACAGTCTAGTTTCCCACCCAGAGAGGAAAAACAGAGGCAACTGAAAAGACAAATACGAACTAGTGAGTGGAACTGTCTCACATGTAACAGACTGGTGAGCATTTCAGTAATGGGAGACTGGGTTCATAGACTCAATTATAGATTTATTTTTTTTTAACCATTTATTCTTCTTTGTGTTTATACAGTACGTCGTTTAAGAGAACTGCAACTGAAATTCTTTCATTAATACACTTCTTGAGTGATGCAGACAATATCCTACCTTCCACTCAAAGATGAAAAAAAGGGCACTACGTGTATTCCCAAGGGTCCACCTTCCCCAGAAATCTCCACTGTTTTGGTCATTTCACTGAAAAAAAAAGAGCACAAAGAAACACATCTCATTTGCTTCCTTATAGAATTTTCTATCTCAAAAACACATTCTGCTCTAAACCAAATGATTTGATCAGATAGATAGAAGTATAGAATCAATATTAGGCTCAGAACTCACTAGTACAGAGAAAATCTGATGACATTCAAAATAGCTAACGATTTCTTTAATTTTTCTTTAGTTTAGGAATTGGTACTCTGATAGGAAATGACATCATTACTAGATGCCCTCTTAAGTGAATCCTTAATAAATTAATTAGAATATGTAAGGGTAAGCTTTGAAGTCTGAATAATCTTCATTCTATTTAAAACTAAAGGCTACTCTACATGTTATAGAGAAAAGCAACTTTTTAAACTTATGTTTCTTTTGAGCCTCTTCAGTCAATTTCTCCATGTGGACACATTAAAAACAGGAAAATCACACTTTGAAGACATCAAAGAGATAAGCTGGTTAATTAAATCATAAGTATTTTGCTTTCTGCCTCCCATTGCATACAGTGTTGCTGACGTTAAAAAAAAAAACCCCGAACTGTAATCAGAAATGCAACTCAGCTCATTTTTTCAGGAAGTTTCCTACTTCAATCACCATTATCAATAACCTCTTATTATCTCTGGCAGTATAATTATTTCTTTTTTAGCTGTTCATGGCTAGGTGCTGTTTTTTTTTTCCTATGGAGGATTATACCCTGCTGGCCTTGCAGTGACCTTAGTTCTATTCTGGGTGATCATAATTTGAAAAGGAAGGTACTTGAATTGGCTAGAACATAAAAAAAAAAAAAACAAAAAAAAAAAAAAAAAAAAAAAAAAGAAGAGAAAGGGGAAATCATAAATTCCAGTATGGAATTCCTACCTTTTGCGTTAGTCTACTTTTTCTGAAACACCTCCATCCTCTTGAATCGTATTGAACTCCACCGACATTCGGAATTAGGGGAGAGCTACTGGGTATTTTCCTTCACATTAGGAGTACTCTGATCCTTTCAAGCTATAAACAAACTCTGTTTATACCTGCATGCAAATTCTGTAGTATTGGCAGTTCTGTAAACATGAACCAAATGACCACTTTGCATACTGTGCTGAGTTCGAGTCAATCTAATGCAAGCACAGGCTGCTGAGGAAAAGGCTTCCAACATTTCTGCAAACATGACAGATCTACAGAGCGCGTGTTTCTCGTGCAGAAAGATCACTGAGTCCTTCGTTCCCCCAACCCCATCGGCAGTGCCTTCCTGGTGGGGGAAGGGGGAAAACACTTTCTGCACAGATCAGCTTACAGATCCCACTGACCCACAGCCTTTGGATTCAAGGCAGGAATAGGCAGAAACACACAATTACAAGGGTGCTGTGTCCTACCACTCTGAAAGAGACCTCCTCGCCACATCAGGTGAGAGTCTACATAAAAGCAACTGGTATAAGGTGCATCTCTCAAGAAGAAGGACAATAACTGCAAGAGATCTTATTCAAATTCTGCCTCTGGCTTCTAATAACACAATATTTTTATTTTAAAAGCCTTTTTCGTGTTGTGTGATGACTAATTACAAGCAACTTGCCCCTGGTACCATAATTCTTTTCTTGCTCGGATAAATGCGGAATGAGAAAATAAGCTAATACAGTTTTGATGGGTTTTTGTAGTTTTTTCTCCCAGGAAGGCTGACTGGAATGAATTTGTACTTCATAAAATGGAAATATATATACGTCCTGCACAACAATCCACAGCTGATTCCAAAATAAGAGACTTTCACATTACTACAACGCAGGTGTTACCAACATGTATTGCTACCTGCTCATTTTTTTTCCTGTACTCCCTTCTCCTCATTAAATAAGCAAGGAAATACTGACAAAACCTTCCCATGAGGTTCTTTGGTTTGGTTTCACAAAATATTTTTATTTTCTAGTGAAACTGTTCAGAAAAGCTAGACTCCACTCAGGATGCTTCCCAAAACCACACATGTAGAAAGTTAACTATTCTTCCTGTTTAACCTGCTACTTCCACCAATTCCCTTAACAGACAAATACATGTATACAATTAAAATGCTACCTGTATTATCTTTTGGACTTGTACAGAATCACAGTATCTAAAGGAATTAAGCAACAAGTCCTCTGGGCCCAGAGGACCCAAAAAATAATCAACAGTAATGAATGGGTTTCCATTTGTACTGGGAAGATTTTAAACAAATTATGGCTGCCCCCAGATAACCCTGTGCTGCTCGATGACTCCCGGGAAGTCATCTTCCTAAGCAGTGGTAAAATAGAGCAGGAATCTTCTGAGGGCGATTACAACAGACAGGTTACCTGTCATCTCACATCAGTGCACTTACAGTTAAAAGTCAGCTCAAAGCCAAAGACAACATACAAGTTTATTTTTAAATCTAACAAAATCTATTCAGTATGAAAAATGGGTTTCCTTTTGAAAACAAGTAGCCTGCAGGTAGATTGTGTGTGACTTTTAAAAACAGTGACACATCCTACAAGTTATGCACTAAAGTGCTAAATACCCAGAACAAGATCGAGCACACTACATGCAAATATAAAAGAGGTGTTTTATGTCTTAAAGGAAAAAAAAATACTATGACTCAAATGCATTTTTCATTCCCAAGTGTAATTCCTATTTACACCTGAAAACTTGGCAACAACGTGAATAGATCTTTGAAGACACACTGTATTTGTAATTGTACCTACAAAAGCCTGACTGTTAAATAAATAAATAATTAAATAAAACAGGATAGCTGGGATTGAGCTTTCTTGGTTAAGAACTTCAGAGATTAAAGACTTAGCAAAATCAGACCTCATCCTCTCCTGCTGACCATCCTCCAGTTGGTTTCATCTGCCCATAAGAACGACTTAATTCCAGCAGCATATTGACCATGCTGGCTTACAGTTTAAACTACACTAGCAAGAGAATAGAACAATGAAAGGAGAAGTTAGTGAAATACAGAGTAGGATGAGCTTTAAGCCTAAGGGTACCAATTCCTGAACTCCACAGGCACGAAGGACCCGAAGGCGATGGGTCCCTGAGTTCAACAGAGTCATGTTAAAGAACTGAAAGTAAGTGGTAAGAGAGAACACAGAGTGGCATTCTGGTTTTGGTTAGCAGCTGCAATATTGATACCTGGGGGTAATTTATGGTTTTCTTGCAATATTCACCATTTAAAAAACAAACTGATCTCTGAAAAGGAAAAGGTAACTTCCAAAAGCTAGTAATGTTCTTGTGATCTATTCCTATTTCAAATATCCCCTCTCCATCCCATATGCATTCTACGTCGAATGAAAATGCAGCTCTGACCAAACAGAGTCCTGGAGCTCAATTGCTGGCTCGACATGAGGTCAGCAGCACTAGCTCAAAGGTTTGTGAGACAAACAGCATGGCATCTTCTGCATATTCCCAGGGCGCAGAGATTCTGCTCCAGAAAATACTGCAGCTTCTGCAAATACATGCTGGTGCTCTGACCCCATCTCTGGTCTCAGCAAGGACACCGCCCTTGCCCAGCGCGGCTTCAGGCTGAGTCCAAGGCCACAGCCAGTGCTGCACTATTGATTTTAAGCCCAAGGAAGCCACCACTGTTTACTAATGTAAACTCTCCAGTGCTTGATGTTTATTGATTTCCGCCAGATTCTTTACAGACTATCACATTTGGCACGAAGCTCTGCCGTGCATGTTATTAAAAATGCTGCTGAGCACAGTTTGAGAAGACAGAGAGGATGTACGTGCATGCGCGTGGGTACAGGGAGCATGCACAACAGTCCATTTTGAACATGGAAAGCAAAATGTAAATGCAGTGCTGCATATTCAGTGGCCAATCAGTCTGATCTTCACATTGATGGTGACCTTGCTGTCAAGTATTACAGCCCTCTCCTGAACACTGCACCAGGTGATATCAATTTGTCATACGCAACAGGGAAAGCTTTGTAAGCTGAAGGCTCCTCAAACTACCCAAGAACAGTGAGGAACGAATCTCATCCACCAAAAGTGCAGGTGCTTAGAAGGGACCTCACTCCATAGGTAAAAATTCTGAACCAGGATTTTGTTCGCTTTGACTTTCCTAAATTACCAATGCTGGGAGGATCTTGCCAGGATTTCCCTTGGAGAAAGCAGTAGATACAGCCTACAACAGACTGTTTTGCAACACAAAGAAGGGAGCACTTTGGTAAAACGTTATTTCAACACAGGGCAAAACTTACCATGTGCAAGTAATAAGTAGTTATCACTCCAGTGACATATTCTTCTGCCATTTTAACCCTATTCAACATCTGCACTAAACTAGTTAACTCAGGCTCATGATGACAAAGCAACAAGCTGTGAATATAGCACTGAACATAACCACTGAATATGCTTTTAAGGAAGTTACAGTTAGCAAGCTGCTGTATTAAAAAAAAACGGTAATTCTTACTACAGAATGTCAGTGTGTCCCCTGCAAAAACGGGAGGCATAGCTGATATTCCAAACATGCATTGTGGCATTTTTATTGACCATAGCCAAGTAAGAGGCAAGGAAGTCTCAGTCAGATGCAGAGAGCTCATGGATGCAGTTACTGAGCTGCTTTTTCCTGCTCATCCTCCACGCGTATCTATGGCCCCATTGGGTTCTGCCATTCCAGGGGAGGAGAGCACCCAGGAAAAGGGGCTACTCACATGTGGCAGGGAGCATAGCCTGTGGGTGATAGCAAATTAGCAGATGTAATTTTGAAGACAAATCACAAAGATTAAGGCTGATAAAGAGGGTGATGATTCTATTCATGCACTCTTACACATTAACAGACAGTTGCTGATGGTAATGATCTGTACCCATCCTTTCAGAGAAGCCAGTCCCAACTAAGCCATCTGAATGAACATTCTCCAACTTGCTACTCCTTTTTCATCTTTCCTTCCCCCTCATGAACCAGATGCTAGAAGTTCTGATGAAAATTACTTGGAATCAGTGAAGAAACTGGAGCTGGAGATGCTAGTGTGAAATCACTCAAAGATAGATGAAAATCTGAGCAATATCCAAGAGGTGGTGGAGAGCACTCTGCACGGAGGGAGAGGAGAAAGCCACTGAATGTGCAGAGTTCAGCAAAGCCCAGGAAGTTGCTCACTTGCCTTTAAGAGGAGCACCTTTCAGTTGCTCCATTGTATACAGAAATAAATTAGCAAGAAGTTAAAATATTTACTATGAAGTAATGTTGTAATCTTTCTGTTTCAGGTTTGAAGTGGCAACCAATCATCATTTTGTATCCAAAATGTGTTAACTCTCCCAGATCAGCTGTCTGAAAATTTAGAGACAAACCAGACAGCCTGCAGGCACCAGGTTTTTCTCTTTTTTCTTTTTTTTTTTTTTTTATCTTTTTAAAGTTGTTGCACTTCTGTGTTGTCAGACTACTGCAAAACACACAAAGCGGTTTAAAAAAAGGAAAATATAGAGAGGGAACAAATACTGTCATTACTCTTTAATTATGTACCTACAGATTTTAAACCAAGGAACTAACTCTGACCTCTGCTGAAAAGCAGCAAGACAATAAAACAGAACTTAATGAAAACACATAATGAATTATCAGTGCATACATTACTCTCAGAGTTCCAGCTAATCCACTGCTATTAAGCCAAACATTCACTTCCAAGCAGATTCACGTTTCCCCTTCCTTAACACAGTCATTTTTATTGAGATGCAAGGATTGAGAAACAGTATCTCTATGTACAGTGTGCTACAGGACTGAATGTTACAGGCTGCAACACATTTCTGTGTGATGTCTATAGAGTACCAAGACCAGACTGTTACTATAAGTATTTTTCAGTTCTCATTCAGAACATGATGGGAAACAAGGAAAAACAGCATATTTTATAAACTGATTGTATTAGCTTAGCTACTCTTATTCTGAGCGTTATCTTTATTAAAAAATACAAAATAAGCACCATCAGAAATTAAAAGAGGATTGTCATTACTTCTGTCTTTATACATTCCACTAAAAATTGCCAATGACATGATGTTCAAACCTCTGTTTCAGTGAAATTCAGCAAAATTCAGCTCTCAGAACGTGGAATTGTTCAGACTCCAGGAGGATACAGTCCTGAAAAAGTTCCCAGTACTTCCACAGTCAAATATTTTATAGAGAATTCAGGCAAAGAAACTTTCTTCCTATTAGCTTCTACATAGAGGAACTAGAAGTCCTTCACACTGCCACTCATTTCGTTTATCACGTGTGCAACTTTCTAATTTTGCCTACCTAAAGCAATTAACTAAACTTTCTTCAGATGGAACAGTTTTCCTACTTGAATGAGAATTATAAAACAATCCAGGTCTGAAGCCTTTCACTTCAACTGACTGGGTTTCACAATCATAAAATATTAATTGCGAGGCTCTTTATTTTCCTTCCCTCTGAAATACCTACTATTAGCCATAGTTAGAGAAGGGATGCTGACCTCAGACAGACTGTTGCTCTGACAAGAAGTCTCAGATAATTTTCTTTGGTGACTAGCTGCTGTTTTATTTAAGTGCTAAGGTCATAATGATCAAACTCCATGACAGGAAGGAATATTTTCTGGTGAAAGCAGCAGGGACAATAGTGGTTTTCTTCTCTTCCATAGCATGGAGCAGCCCTCAGGCTGAAATATTAGCTTCATTAACATCATTAAACATAACATGACTTATTTAAATAAAGGTTTATGGTATCATGACTTGGTAACCCCTCATGGCCCTAAAATCTTCAAAACGTAACAAGTCAGACATCTCTGCAAATTATATATTTTTTTTTCCAGAAATAATGTAAAAAGAACCAAGTCAGATATTAAGATACGTTATATTAAATATTTTTGTGCAAGTAAAATTTTATTATTTCATTATAAGAGCTTCTAAAACAGATAATTAGCTAAATTCAGTCCAATTAAGATACCTGTAAGATGGACAGACAGCCTCTAGTGAGTGCTTCATTATTTTCTCTTTATAAAACAATTGCTACTAAAAAAATACTTCTGAAAAAACAGCTTTAAAAAATAACTCTTCACTTCTCTGCGGAAGAAGCTGAACAGAAACAAAATTGCTGCTTTAAAATTTATATTCTTTAACATTTGAAATGCCAGTAAATTTTACAGAGTGACAAGTGCATGTATATATATACTTTTTAAACAAAATAATGTTCTCTGAAATCCTTCTAAACTCATTGTTTCTACAAGTTTGAATATCTTACAAATACTTGAATATTTTTAACAAGTCTTAGGCTGAAAAAAAATCTTAGTATCTCCTTCAGGTCAGCAGGCAAAACAGTGTTTTGAGTAATCTCCTCACAGGCCCATAGGATGCACAGCAAAGTTATATTTTGGTACAGCTTGAAACACCTTCAAGGATGGGGCATCAACAGCACCTCCGGCAACCTGTTCCAGTGCCTCACCACCCTCTGAGTAAGAAATATTTTCTCTAACACCTAACCTACATTTCCCTCTTTCAGTTTAAAGCTATTCCCCCTTGTCCTATCACTATAAGACCATGTAAAAAGTCACTCTCTCTTCCTGCTTATAAGCTCCCTTCAAGCACTGGAAAGCTGCAATGAGGTCTTCTCAAAGCCTTCTCTTAATATGAGTACAATGCAGGTGTGATTAGAATGAAAAGTCAGTTTTGTCTTGCATATAGATAAAGCATGCTGAAGTAAGCACTGCAGAATACACTCCTACCTTACAGGAAGACGGGCCCTCTGCGATGACAACAGTTCTGCAGGTCCTGCAAGGTTCATTTCCCCATCCTCAAAGGATACCTGGGGAGCACCCTGTTGAGAGATTTCAAAGCACATTTCGAAACTGAACACATGCATATGCATATGCATATAAAAGATTGGCAGTGTTTGTGTTTTTGAAACACTTGAAAGAGAAAGCAAGCCACTATTTATTCACCTCACTGAGGGTGAGGACTGAAAGACCCATTATTTATGGAGTATACAAACAACACTCGAAGAAACAGTTCCACTGTTTACTCCAGTATCCCACCAAACTTTCACTGACACGTTGGTTTAAATACAATAGAGGGCCTATCCCACTGTTTGAGGGAAGAGAGAGGAATAAGATCCTCTGTCAAGGTCTGGTATAACCAGTAGCTTTTCTACCTTCTTCTATCTTCATACAACCTAAAAGGAGATTCAGAATCTCTCAAGAGACAAAGTGATGGAACAAACTAGTCACCTAGACTTAAACAGGACAGGGCACCATTCTTCAAAAAGCCACTCCATACTGCTTGCTTTATGATGCCATAGCAGAGAGGGGAGGACAGATTGAAAGAGCTGTGGAGAACCCAAAGGTCTACAGGACAGGGAATAATTCAAGCTGAAGAGTAAAAGAGTTTCACAAAGGTTGAACAGCCTTAAAACTGCTTCCTCACTGCCAGTCCATCCTGAGTTCTTTTCAACTCTGAGCCACCTCCTTGCTCCTGATAGATACCCTAAGCCTCAAATTGCTCGTTCTGCTCCTTTGTAGCATTACTATGGTAAAGACATTTTTACATTAGCTTCACAGATGAAAAAATTAAGGAATCATTTGGCCAGACACAAAAATACACTGCACACAGGGACCTAACATTAGTGCTAGCACTATTTAAAACTATTAACTTTCTTTTCCTGATCCTCAGATTCTTATGTTTGCATTTTTTCCATGCTGGGAAAGGGAAAGAGGTACAAATGAGATAAGACCACTGTCAGCAGGTGATATATTAGCTTTAATGTACTGTATTTCATTGCAGCCTTCATGGCAATAATGTAAACAGAGCAAAATCCGTAACAAAGACCTTTTTTGGAGAGGTCACTTCTGCCAACTCTGCAACAGGAATATAGCTGGAAGACATAAATCTTCAGCTGTCAACACACTAAGGGAATTCAATTCTAAGCTTGATCTTAACTAGATAAAGCCAAAAGTTAATCATCTCTTTTTTTGTTGCTGCAGCAGTACAGGTTCTCACTGTATATACTTGCCAAATCAGGTTGTCTCAAGGCAAAGAGTAGCAATGTTATAAGTTAATTCCAAAGAACAAAATCAACTAGATAGGTAATTTAATTTTCAACAGAAGTTTTAAATGTATATTAGAATTTCCATTTTTTCTCAAAAAAGATGGCTCTACCCATAAAGATGGCTTTCCTAGTTTGTCATTTTCAACTCCCCCAAAGGCTTGAGGATCTTATTTTCAGCTTAATAAGTAGCAAGAGAGCTGTAGGGGTGAGGGGACTGCTTTGTGCTTTAGAAAAGAACCACGATGAGTCTTCTAAGCAAACTTTTGGAATATAAATCAAGCTGGTTCCACCCAATTTCTCCCCTCCCCTTTGATCACACACCACCGAGTTTTTGAACCTATTATGAACTGGCAGCAGCTCTTTCTGCATGTTCATCAGAGCACGAGCCAACAGATTTGGCTTCCACTGCAAAGCCAATACAGCTCACTGAAAGCAACGTCTGTCACTAATGAAAAAACTGTTTGAAGAAACGTGTACTGAGTCTATGCTATCTCTTCCAATCCCTCTTCACAGTGGAACCACGTGTCAATGAGCAGTTTTTGCTGTATGAAGCATATTCCACACTAACCCCATACATCAGGAACTCAGCCTTAAACAGCAAGTTAGCAACAGAAATCTGACACACAGCTTTCCCGTGCTGACTTCATTTTGAAAAAAGACAGAGCCTTGGTCGCAACAGATGTCAGAAGGAGACAACTCTCATTAACCAGAGAGCTCCCAAAGCTAACCTTTTTTAGCTAACCAGAGAAAACACTGGCGCTGCAAAAGGGTCTTCATTTTGGAAGGCTGAAAATAGCCAAACCACGAGCAGATTTTTGGGTGGTGAATTAACCTGCTCCTTTTTTCTTCCAGACATTGGCTGCAACACAGCACTGCTCAATGCATGACCAAGAACTTGCTGCTTATGGCTCCAAACAGTTTTGCTATTTAAAGCTTTGCTTGCAGTCTGTTCAAGTCTGTGTATGCTACATCACTTTTCCGTCTTTTGGCTTTGGGGTTACTGTTATTTTTATTTTATTTTTTTGCTGTAGTGAGGTTACATCCATACTTGTCCTTCCCCTCTTCCTTGGGTAACTGAGATTTCACAGCAGTGACAAATACAGATAGCAGAACATGATCTCATCTGAACATGTTTTTGTTGACTGATTCACAGTTTTTAAGCCACGAGGGATCATTTTTGATCAACAAGTCTAATGCCATTCTTGGAATTAGACTTGTTTAGTCACCCAGCACAGCCGTTGGCTGTGACACTGCTGATAAGCAAATGATTCTCACACAAAAATAGCAACTGCTCTCTTTTCTGCTAAAGGTAGAAGAAGCAAGAAATGTCCGAAAGCTGAAAAAAGTTGGTACAAATATTAGAGGCATCAGATCTCCAGTAGAGATCTTCAAGGACAGATTTAAAAACACGTCAGGAATGTTTAAGGGCATGTTCATTCCCGTGTGAGAATAAATGGTCCAGCTTTGTGAGGTGCCTGACAGCCCCACACCTCCAAGGTAAGACTTCAGCAAGGAATTCAGAGTTTGGAGCCCATAGCTTCAATTATAGCTTTTTAAAAATTCATTCAAGGGTAAACACTCCTACAAAAGAATTTATCCACTGCTAAGCTGGACCCCAGAGTGTTTATAGACTTCAGAAATACCATGGAAAGTGTTCAGTGTCACAGCCTCCTGCTTGGATTTGAAGGTAAGTGCTCACATATTACAGATCATGGCATGCTAAAATCAGTAACACAGCCAAATAAATTTGAAGTCTTAAATGATTGACGAAACATGAATCATAATAGTGATTCATTACAGAGCTCTCCAAGAGCGACATTAAAGCTCCAGTCACACAGTAATCACTACAAATGGACAAATTCCTTTCATACTTCAGCATTTCAGTAGAGCCACAGTAAATTTAAACACATCGTCTCCTGCCCAACTGGCTGAAAGATAGCAAGGCAATGATGTACAAGTAAAGGCACTGTTAGAAGATAATGATCCAATACCCATGAATTCTCAATCTTTGTTGTTTAACAAAGACTCGTTTTCAGTTTTTCCAACAGTTGCAGAACTAAAGACACCGACTCCCAAAACTTCATTCAAATTCAGCTACCTGTATAATTTAACAGGATTGCAGTTTTCGTTTAGGAAATCAGAATAAATGCAAAATACTGCAGCTAAAACAATAGGCAACAATGCAGATGCATCTAATAACAGTGGAATTGATATATTTTTTTTTAAGTTTATTCACATAGGTATAATTTTTAATTAAGCTATTTGTCTTAATGCAGCAAAAGCACGTTTTTCAAATTAGAACTGAACCAGAAGAGCAGGATCATATAAGATAATACTCTCTGCCAACAACTACACAGCTTGGAAAATTCTCATATTCATTACATGGCAGTTCTTGAATTAGATAAATGTGTATGTGTAGCAGTAAGAGCAACCATACACACCAGTAACTTCTACCCTGTAGACATGCACTGTATTCCCAATTTAACAGTCAGCATGAACAGCAAATATGCTGGAATCAGTCGTCTGTCTTACTGAGGTTAGACTGTATTCAAGATGCCCCCCTGTTTATTTTATTTCTTTCATTTTTGAAAATGCTCCCTTTATATAAAAACTACTGAAGCTGTTGGAACCTATCGGCTTCAAGAGAGTGAGAGAGGCACTTTTGGACAGAGAAGAAAGTACAGCTTTCATAGGAAGAGATGGACAAAATGGGCTGAGAGCCGCCAGTCCGCACTGTGCCCGGCCACTGCTCCACTTTCTGGCTATTGTTGCTACTGAGAAACTGTGCACTTCCATATTACAAAATCTCAGCACAGCAGCGGTTTCCTAGCTCTACTCTGGTTACAGTGTAGTTTTCCATTATCTTTCAGTTCTCTTACAGCAATATTTTGCATATGCAATCAAGGGTACACCACAATGCCCAGCCCAACGCAGCCAAGCTCTGGAAACAGCCAGCAAGCATAGAAGGGCCATTAATCATCTTGATTCTCCCTGATAGACTCTCACTGCTATTCTCAGGACAAGCAGCAGTTTTTGGAGGTAGTAACAAAATTGCAGATATATCACTTTTAAGAAAGGGATGTAGAAAAAAATTAAAAAAAAAAAAAAAAAGAAAAGAAAAAAAAAAAAACCCACCACAAAGAAAACACATCCTTTTCTATTTTTTTCTTATTAAACAATAACCAGCATAAGACAAACCTCAGAAGTAGGTGGGAAGTTCAGAAAAAGAGTAATTCTGTGTAAACAACCAGAGAACATCCTGAGTGAGGGGTATTCTTGCAGCATAAAGCAGTCAAACACTAACCGTATGCTTGAAGGAAATAAGATCTACTAATAAGAATTGTACATGGTCACCACTCAAAGCATATCCCAAAGGAAATATTCCAAAGTGGCATATCCCAAAGGAAAACATTTTTACATGAAACTTTATTTTAATGGCCAAGTTAGAAGTGAGGCTGCTGTAGGACTAAGGCCAGCTGATGGCTGTCCACCCCTGACACAAAGAGAGGGCAGGCAGACCTGGTGGGTCAGGGCTCACAGCCTTCACCTCCCTCCAGGAGGGCCAGCAGGAGGTCAGCCCCACAAACTGCTGGCTGCAAGGAAACTGGGGAGTGACAGGGATGCTTGCTTACAAATGCAGGAAATGTCTCATACATTGCTCCCACAACACACATCTTCAATTACTGCATTTAAAAACTGAACATTTTTAGCAGCACTTTCAGGATCACGTGAACATTTCTGACAGCCAGAATGAGTTCACAAAGCCATTGAAC